TTTACTTCTTTATTTTTTCAGAAATGGATTGATCTTTTTGAGATTTGCTTTTAAGGCATGTTAGGTAGAATCAGAATAGCCTTTATTTTAAGACTAAACTGGCTTTGCTACTCAGGCAGTATTTTCAGGATTCTGCTGATGCCTCATGTTTTAGGAGACCTTCTCATTGTGGTTTTTAGGAATAAGAACTATTTCCAACCCTGTGGAAGAATTGGGAATTGTTCTGTCTATTTCTTTCTAGGGATTCTTTTTCTCTGATCTCAGTAGTTTTCTCTTACTCATGCATTGATCAGACTTACTGGAGACTCAAGTGGAACCCTCTTCAGATCTTCAGAGAGAGACATCTCTCCTCTCTTCTCTCCTCTTCCCTCCTCCTCTTCCCTCCTCTTTCCTCTCCCCTTTCCTTCCTTCCCTTCCCCTTTCCCTCTAGTACTCTTTTCCATGAATTATAGATTCCTTGGTCTCTCTGAACTCTGAATTCTGTTTCTTCAACTTAGGGAGACTGGTGGACTCTGTGTTACTCCTCCCTACTCTTTCCAGGTAGTAATCTAGGGACAATCATAATGCTTCCTTTATTTATTTCCCTTCTCTCAGAGATCACTGTACTAAGCTTTATGTTGTCCATTATCAGAAAACAATATATATTTTGTTCAGATTTTAAGTTGTTTAAGATAGAAGGGTAAATCTGGTTTCTGTAATCCATCATAGCTAGAAGCAGAAGTAGCATATTGCTTTCAATATCATTCCTTTTTAACTTACATTTTAACATTTCTATATGTTTTTTATGTTTTAAAAAATTTCTTTTGACAGAATAAATTCCCACCTATGACCATCCAAACACATAATTATATATACTTATTTTTAAGAGTTCTGTGTTTAGATATTTCACAAGACCCATTTATCAGCTCATTTGTCTTTATTCTTTGGATTGCCAAGCTGTTTATCATATCTAACTAAATAATTAACTAAATAATTAAAGGAATTATGCTTCCTTTAAGCATACTTTTTTCTTAATTAAAGAAAATGGCTGAGCAGTATTCCCTCTGGAACCCCTTTGTGGACCAAAAAAAAAAAAAAACTTCATTTATTCATTCAACAATTATGGAATGTTTATTATGTGGCAGGAATGTTTATTATATGTTGGGCATTGGGTATACATACTAAAGTATATGAAAGAATTCCTTCCCTTAAGGAATCCATAGTGTAGTAGGTAAACTGACAAGAAACAGCTTTTCCTTTGTAGAACATTTGCAGTGGGAACTGTGTTCTTCTGTTCTGGAACTGTGGAATCAGAGGTGGTTATACTCTCTGAGAATCACTTTATCCTAATCCTAATTCACCTTTTCCCAAACACCCAAGCATGCTCCTGCCTTTGGATCTTTGTTCTTACTTTTCCCTTTGCCTAGGATGCTCCTCTCCTAAGGTTATCCAAATGACTTACTCTTTCACATTTCTGCTAAAGTATTATTTTATCGATGAGACCTCGACTATTGTCTATAAAATAGCACTCATCACCTTCAGTTTTTATTTGAATTTGTATTCAGATTGTTTTTTTCCCTATTGGGGTAAAATTGGTATACAAGATTATATATATTTCAGGTGTACAACATTATATTTTGATATTTGTATACACTATGGTAAGTCTAGTTACCATCCATCAGCATACAATTGATCCCCTTCACCCCTTTTGCACTCCCCCAATCCCCTTCCCCTAACCACCAGTCTGTTTTCTTCGTCTATTTATAGCTTGTTTTTATATTCCTTTTGTTCATTTGTTTTGTTTTTTAGATTTCACATGTAGGTGAAATCAGGTATTTGTCTTTTCCATTTGACTTATTTCACTTGGCATGATACCCTCAAGGTTCATCCATGTTGTTGCAAATCACAAGATTCCCTTCTTTTTTATAGCTGAATTTTATATGTGTATGTATATGTACATACACACACACACACACACACACACACACATCTTCTTCATTCCTCATTGAGCACTAAGGTTGTTTTCATATCTTGGCTATTGTAAACAATGTTTTAATTAACAAAGGGGTTCATATATCTTTTCAAATTAGTGTTTTCATATTCTTCAGATAAATACCCAGAAGTAGAATAGCTGGATCATATGGTAGTTCTGTTTTTAATTTTTTGAGGAATCTTCATACAGTTTTCCATAGCGGCAGCCCTAGTTTACATTCCCATCAGCAGTGTGTAAGGATTCCCTTGTCTCCACATTCTCTCCAACACTTACTATTTCTTAGCCATTCTAACAGATATGAAGTGATGTCTCACTGTGGTTTTGATTTGCGTTTCCCTGATAATTAGTGAACATCTTTTTATGAGCTTATTGTCTATCTGTATGTCTTTTTTGGAAAAATACCTGTTCAGATCTTCTGCCCATTTTTTATTTTATTTTTACTTTATTTTTTTATTTTTTACACCTACAGCATCTGGTTTTCCTAGGTGGTCTCCCATCCAAGTACTAACCAGGCCCGACCTTGCTTAGTTTCTGAGATCAGATGGGATTGAGCTTGTTCAGGGTGGCATGGCCATAGACTCTCTGCTCATTTTTTAATCTGATTGCTTTTATGTTGTCAAGTTGTGTAAGTTCTTTATGTATTTTGGATTTTAAGCCCTTATTGGATATATCAGTAGGTTGCTTTTTTGTTTTGTCGATGGTTTCCTCCACTGTGCAGAAGCTTTTTAGTTTGATGTAGTCCCATTTATTTATTTTTGCTTTTGTTTCCTTGACTTTGGAGTCACATCCAAAAAAAACATTCCTAGGATTGATGTGAAGGAACTTATTGCCTGTGTTTTCTTCTAGGAATTTTATGATTTCAAGTTTTACATTAAAGTGATTAATCCATTTTGAGTTAATTTTTTTGGTGTAAGATAGTGGTCTAGTTTTGTTCTTTTGCATGTATCTGTCCAGTTTTCCCAGCGCCATTAGTGAAGATTGTGCTTTCCCCATTGTAGTTCTTGGTTCTTTTGTTATAAATTAGTTGTTCATAGATGTGCAGGTTTATTTCTGGGCTCTCAATTCTGTTCCATTGATATATGTGTCTATTTTTATGCCATTACCATACTGTTTTGATTACTATAGCTTTGTAGTATAGTTTGACCAGGCACCACGATACCTCCAGCCTTATTCTTCTTTCTCAAGATTGTTTTGGCTATTCAAGGTCTTTTGTGGTTTCATACAAAGTTTAGAATTATTTGTTATAGTTCTGTGAAAAACATCATTGTGATTTTAAACAGATTGCATTGAATCTGTAGATTGCTTTGTGTAGTATGGACATTTTAACCATATTGATCCTTCCAGTCCATGAACATGGAATGTCTTTCCATTTATTTGTGACTTCTTCAGTTTCTTTCAGTAGCGTCTTATAGTTTTCTGTATTCCTTGACTAAACGTATTCCTAGGCATTTTATTCCTTTTGATGCAATTGTCATTGGGATTATTTTCTTAATTTCTCTTTCTAATATTTTGTTATTTGTGTATAGAAATGCCACAGTTTTTTTTTGTATATTGATTTTTATATCTTGCAACTTTACTTAATTCCTTTATTAGTTCACTTTTGTGTATGTTTGTGTGTATGTGGAGTCTTTAGGTTTTTCTATGTATACTATCGTGTCATTTTCAGATAATGACAGTTTTACCTCTTTCCAATATGGATAATTTTTATTTCTTTTGCTTGTTTGATTGCTGTGGCTAGAACTTGCAATACTGTGTTCAATAAAAGTGGCGGAGTGGGCCTTCTTGTCTTGTTTCTGATCTTCAAGGAAAGCCTTTAGCTTTTTACCATTGAGTATATTAGCTGTGGATTTGTCACATATGGCCTTTATTATGTTGAGATATGGCCCCTCTCTACTCACTTTGTTGAGAGGTTTTTTTTTTTTTTATCATAAATAGACATTAAATTTTGTCAAATGCTTTTTTGCGTACATAGGGATGATCATATTTTATTCTTCATTTTGTTAATGTGGTATATCGCATTGATTGATTTTTGGATGTTAAAAGATATTTGCTTCCCTGTGATAAATCCCACTTGAACATGGAGTATGATCCTTTTAATATATTGTCAAATTCGGTTTGCTAGTATTTTGTTGAGGATTTTTGCATCTGTGTTCATCAGGGATATCGGCCTGTACTCTTCTTCTGTGTTGGTATCAGGGTAATACTGGCCTTGTACAATGAGTTTGGAAGCATCTTCTGTTCTTCAGTTTTTTGGAAGAGTTTGAGAAGGATAGGTATTAAATCTTTGAATGTTTGGTAGAATTCACCTGTGAAGCCATCTGGTTCTGGACTTTTGTTTGCTGAAAGGTTTTTAAAAATTTTTTTATTAATTATCACTGATTCAATCTCTTTACTAGTAATTGCTCTATTCATTTTTACTATTTCTTCATGGTTTAGTCTTGGAAGATTGTATGTTTCTATTAATTTATCCATTTCTTCTAGGTTAATGTATAAGTTGTTCATAGTAGCATCTTAAGATCTTTGTCTTGTTCCTGATCTTAGAAGAAAGCTATTAGCCTTTTACCATTGAGTGTATTAGCTGTGGATTTGTCATTTATGGCCTTTATTATATAACTTTTCATTTCTGATTTTATTTATTTGATCTCTCAGTGAGTCTCGGATTTATTATTTATAGCATTATAATTTACATTTTTATTTAATTTTGTCCTTATCACTCCAACCTCTTCTCTCCCTCAAATGTAAATGCCAGATGAGCAGGGACTTTATCCTTTTTATTTACCTTCAGTAGTCTTTGGTACACACAAGATTTTTGATAAATATTTCTTGAAAGAATTATACCTCTTTGGTCATTTGATTATTTTCCTTGCTATGTTTTGTGCAAAACATTTCTGACTGATTTTATTCACATGGTTTATTTTTGGTGTACATTGCGCTTAGAATAAGCAAATGTGTAAGTTACATTGTAATACTTGAAAGAGACACTATCATATCAAGTGCTTATTAAATTTTGTTCTTTCCTTTCTCTTAGTTCTTACATAGGACCAATCCAATGGATAAACATATCGAAGTCCTGAGCAATAAATGTGAGTTGTTTCCCCAAGCAATTGTTCCTCAGTTATTTGGGACTGCCGGAAGAGAGCACATGGAAAAATATGGTATGTTAAAAAAAACTTTAAGGCTTATTGGTCATTATATGTGTGATGAGAAACAATAGATATTTATTAAGGAGCTGTGGAGGATGCCAGGATATATTAGATATAAAATGGTTTTTGCATTAAGTTGAAGAAATAGTCTGTGTAGAATTTAGTTGTAGAGAAAGTATTTATATACAGGACATCATATGGGAAGTACTAGAATGCTCCAAAACCAGAGATTGAAATAGAAAAAATAAATCATGTCTTCTTTAATCATGGACTATAAATTGAGATGCATTAGTTCTGATTATGCTAATGAGACTTAAAGCTTTCTTTTGGTAATAGGTTTAGTCAAATTTTATTCTTAGTACAAATTTTATTTATTTTATTTTATTTTACTTGACTTTACTTTTTATTCTATTTGCATTGGTTAGACATCTATATTTTTATTTTTTATTTATTTTCTTTTTTTAATTGCCAATTTATTTATTTATTTTTTACAAATTTTATTCTCAGTAATAGGTTTATATAGTCAGATTTTATTCTTAGTACATCATCATCTCTCATTCCATACTGTTTTATGAGATTTAAATTTCATGGTTGATTTTTACTTTATAGGTAAACATGCTAGTTTTTTGAGTAATAGTCAATGATTGGCCCGCCTTAGTCAGTTAAAGCATGGGATAGTGCAGATAGAATTTTCATTTTTATTGTATGACCCTGAACCAGTGTCTATTGTGTACTATGAGATAAGAAAGAAAATTTCTGTGCTCGAAAGTTCAGCCTTTTTATTCTATATAAGAAAAATATCCCAAGTTTGATAGCCAAAATCAAGTAATTAGAAAGGGAAAAATCTCTAAGGAAAGGGATCATACAGAGGAACACTGCTGGACTTTGCCCATGGACATTTTCTTTCTTGTAGCTATTTCTTACCGTTTTTAACTCAGTCCATTCCAGTCTGGCTTCCCTCCTTTCTCAGGGCTATCATTGATCACCATATTGCCATATCTAGTAAATACTTTTCAATCTTAATTTAATAGACCTCAGCAGCATTAATCCCTTTTGTTCACTTTCTTCTTGAAGCATTCTCTTCTCTTGGCCTCTGTGATATCTCATTCTCCTGGGTTTTTTTTTAACCTCTTTGGATATTTCTTGTTCACGTCTTTTTCAATTAAATAATTCATTTAAAACATGACTGAGCTCTCATTATAGTTCATGCACTGTCCTAGGCACTGAAATATAGCAGTATATTGCTGTGTTTAATAAACCACTCCAAATCTCAGTGATTTTAAACAAGAAATTATTTATTTACTACTATGGTTTACAAGTTTATAGATTGACTAGGAATCAGCTGATCTAAGCTGAGCTCAGCTCTTCTTGTGTGGGTTAATCATGACTGTAGATTGGTTTATGGCTCTGTTCTAGTCTTATGTGACTGGGTAATATATCTCTCATCCTCCTCTTAAGACCAGAATACCAGCCCTGGCATATCCTTTTCATGGTGAAAGCAGAAGCACAAGAGAGTAATCTCCGCCTTTTGAAACTTAAGTTGTTAACCAAAGCAAGTCACATGGCAAATTTGGAATCAAGGGATAGGGAAGTATACTCCACTTCTTTTGTGGTAAGAAACTGCAGAGTTAGACAGCAAAGGACATTCAGGAAGAAAAAAGAATTAGAGACATTAATGCATTCATTCACAAGCAATAAATAAGCAGATGAAATGTATGGTTTTGCTTAAATTTCTAGTGGGGAGAGATGATATATAACACATAAAAACTTAGATAATTTCAGATAATTATTAGTCCTGTAAAGAAAAGAAAACAAGGTAATATACTTGTGGGAAGTGGGAGGCAAACTTAGTATAGACAGTTGATGGCCTCTATACTTGTAAATCTAGTTGGTATCTTGGCAACTCTGCTTGTATATTTAACAGGCTTCTCAAATGTAACATGTTCAAATGCAAACTCTTAATTCTATTCTGTCACCTTAAAGTTGCTCCTCCTCTAGTTTTCCTGAAGTGGCACATCTATTCAGATTTTCAAAGCAGAACCATGAGTTATCTTTGACACTTCTCCCTCCCTTTTCCCCAACACCAACCCTCACTGTGTAGTATCAATTCTATCTCCAAATTATGTTTCTTTCTTCCAAATCGTTTCATTACCACAGCTCTTACCCTAGACCAGAATTTTTCAAACTGTGAGTTGTAACCTGCTAGGAAAGTGAAGATTCAGGTCAGTGGGTTGAATCTAGCATTCTTTTTTTAATCTAAAATTTCTGTTGTTGTTATGTATTATAACTCAACACAGAAGAGTACATAAAACATAAACATGTAACTTAGTGAATTCTAACAAAGCTCATCACCGTGACCTAAACCACCTCCTAAGTCAAAAATAGAATGTCGATGCACAAGAATGCTCTTTGTAGATTATTTTTATCTTAACTTCACTGGCCTCCTGTGAATCTTTTTGGGTCACTCCGATTGACAAAAAGCTACACTTGCAAATCTTTTTGAGGTAAGAAGCTCTACTCCACCTTCGGTTTCTGCTGAAATGGCTGAGGGGAAACAGCATTCTTAAGCTTCTTAGCAGCCCTTCGTTTCAGAAGGATTTGTGAGGCACAGTCTTTTTGTCTTTGAGGGTTTTTTTCTATCTGAACTGTACTCTGAGGCATCAGCTTTGCTCTTTGTGAGATCTTAAAAAGATTTGTCACATCCTTGGCTCCATTTTTTGGACCCAGTTTTCCTGGCAGTGCCCTGATTTGGTCTTTGCTCAAAGGCCATTTCTTAATTTTAGCATCTTTTACCACTTAAGCAGCTGAGAATTCAAAACCATCAAGCCCTGAATTCTTTTTGCTTTACAGTCCTGTCCTCAATATCACTATATAGAATTTTTCTATAAGCAACAAGGAGAAACCATGTGGCTACTTCAGTATTTTGCTTTCTAATTTCCAAATCGTTGCAGGTAATAGTGTTACTAAAATTTCTACTATTGTAAGTAACAAGGATCTCCTTCCCTCCAGTTCTCATTAAGGTTTGACCTTGTTGCAAACCCTCACCTGCAGCAGCCTCAAAGGACCTTGAGGTTTCTACTGATAATTTCTTCAAGGCATTTTAGGCTTTCTCTTGGAGTTTCTTTAAAACCCACCTTCTGGCTCAAAAGTCATTCACACATTTTATGTATTTGTTCAGTGTAACGCCACTTCCAGTATATTAGTCTTCTTGGGCTGCCATAACAAAACACTGTAGACTCGGTGGTGCAAACAACTGAAATTTATTGTTCATAGTTCTGGAGGCTGGGAAGGTGTAAGATAGGTTTTATTCTAGGCCTCATCTCTTGGCTTGTATGCAGCTGCCATCTCACTGTGTACTCCTATGACCTCTTCTTTTGTGTGGGTGGTGAGAGTGGGGTGGAAGGAGAGAGAAAGACAGAAACACAGAGAGACAGAGACAGAGTCAGATACATCTTTTTCTTCCTCTTTGTTTGAGGACTTCACTCTTATGACCTCATCTACCCTAATTACTGCCCCCAGACCTCATCTTCAATTACCGTCACCTCGGGTATTAAGGCTTCAACATATGAATTTTGGGGGGGGTACACAATTCAGTCCATAGCATTCAGGTACCAATACATGTATTGATTATCTATTACTGTGTAATAAAGAGACTCTATTTTAAAACATCATTTCTTGTTTTCATTCCTATTTTCTAGTCTCTCTGTGTGAAAGCTCACTGGCCTCCTTTCATTGTGTTCAGTAAGCCAACCTATTCCCTGTCTCATATTCAGTCTCTTATTCAGTCTCATATTTCCTTTGGCTACAGTGCTCTTTACTCTGTTCTTTCAAGATCAGCTACATCTTATTTTTCAGGTTTAAAAAACAATCTGATATCTCCAGTACTTTACCAAAATATCTCCATTTGTATGTCTAATAGGCATCAAATTTAACTGGTCTAAAACTGAAGTCTTAATTCTTTCCTTGAACTTCCCCATTTCCTGTCTGTTCTTCCTTATTTCATAAATAACTCCTTTTTTCTAGGACCTTTGGTCAAAAACCTTGGAGCCATTCTTAATTCTCCTCATACTTGACATTCAGTATATCAGCAAACATGTTTAACCATTTCTCAGAATATCCATTTTTCATCATTTCCACCACTTCTAGTATATGCAAGCCACCATAATTTCTCGCCTGGATTATAGGAGTCTCCTAACTAATTTTTCTGTTTCTGCTTGCATACCTCTATAGTCAATTCTTTGTTTTACAGTCAGAGTAGTGCTTTTAAAGTCTAAGCCAGATCATTTCACTCCTCTGATCAAAACTCTCTATTGTGTTTTCATCACACTTAAATTGAAACCTATAGATCTTCTTATGGCCTACGAGCTTCTAAATGATCTGATCCCCTACCCTCATTAGCTTTCTGACCTTATCTGTCATTTTTTTTCTTTCACCATTCTGCTCCAGCCGTACTATTTTTTCTGTTCCTCAAACACAGTGAGCACATTCCTACTTCAGGCAGAGCCTTAGCCTTGCCATTTCTACTTCTGGAATGTTCTACCCTAAGATACCATCAGTGCTAGCACCCTTCTATTTTTGCTTAAATGTTACCTTCTGTTTTTTTCATCACTCTCCTTCCCAGAATTTTTTCTCCTGTCTCCTGCTTTATCATTTTATATGGCACTTAACAAAAATCTGGCATATATATTTTTTCTTATTTGTTGTCTGTCTCCTCCAGCCAGAATTGAAGTTCTGCACAAGGGCACAGATTTTGTTTGTTTTATTCCTTGATCATTGACTGTTACCCAGAACAGTGCCTGGTATTCTGTAAATAATTAATTAATCTCCAAAGAAAGATTATTCAAACTGAACTAGATCCCTCCTGTTATCCTCTTTCATAGATAGCCCCCTCTTGCTTTTCTTCATAACACTTAGTACTATTTATATTCATATATTTATTGCATATGGTTTTACTTGTTTAACATTTGTCTTCCTTATTCATCTATAAACTCTGTGAAAGCTACATTAGCAGC